CGCTGTCAAAAATTTTCACAAGTTGGTAAGACATGGAAAAGGTTTGACGTATAACTATCAACAGAGCAATTTACCTTCTGATTTAGCATATAAACGCTATTTAACTCTCGGCTTCATTTGGACAAATTTCTCATAACTTAGGACCAGCTAACAATTATTTTTAATTGACGGTTAGGCGTCTTCAGAATTACGAGCTCCTGTACTCTGAACTTTGACGAGAGACCAAGTTTGGTTTTAAACATCAGTATCGCTATAGCATGCACATAATAAACGATGTTATACGTTGTTCTTCCGTTGATAATATCGAATAAAGTTGATTAAACAAGGTTATTATTTGCTGACAGTGCTTTCAAGGAGAAGCAGAAACGAGAACGCCGAAACAAGAAACGGAAAGAAACATTGTATTTTTGCTGTAGCGATAAACAACTTATAAAGAAACCTCTAAAGCTTCATGCCATGTCAAAAAACTTAAGTTTCAACTTTGTGTGCCAATGGTCTAACGAGTCAGAGCAACTTTCGGATATAATAGTCACACTCATGGCTTTCCACAACGTTTACGTAACACAGATAGAGGTAAGCACATTTTCAATAAAGTGATGTCAGTATTCAAAAGCTTAGATGACGTAATAACAACAAATATGTTATTACTTCATTTAATGGGAAAGCAAAATTTTTAAGCATGAAAAACGAAAACAGTACTTCAGGCAGAACGTTTGGTGACAAAAAAATTATATTTTAAGCAACTAAAGAATAAGAAACATTCTCCTAAGTAATTAGATATAATATAATCATTAAAAGCTAAATAATATACAAATGAAAACTCATTCCGCGCTTCCTCGATATCAAACATGCTATAAGAGTCGTTTGTCCTATCGCGCTCAAGTTTTGAAAGTAAAGTAATGATCCAAAGAGTTCTACCTGCAAACTCTACAGTACATTAATGCTTATTAATACATACAACAGCTTTGCACAGGTCGTTTGCTTCTACAATAATAAAGTAAATTGTTTGAACGAAACATTGACAATAAGAGCTGAAGCGAAGGATAATTAGTGGGAAGTATGTAAAAACGTTTTGGAATGAAATTATTCGACGGAAAAGAAAGGTATTCTCGCAGTCCATTTGTTGCCTCTCATGGACATGAGAGAGTTGTGGAAGTACCGAAGGACAAGTTCGGAGGTCCTCTTACCAAGGGTGAATACATGCTTTGGAGTTAGCGAAAGTATTTTAGTGAACTCATTAACACAGAGCAACCGCAAAAAACTGCCTGGAAAGCAGCAGACAACGGGTATTAGTTTCTGAGTTGATGAAACTACAGAAGCTGCAAAACGTTTCAGAATAGCAAGGCTGCTGTTATCAATGAAATCTGTTCTTTAACGTTTAAAACTTTAGACGAACAAGGCAAGTTTTGGAAAGGTTTCTCCCGAAAGAAGAGGCGGCGATGGAAGATGAAGATGATGAAGGCATGTTTTGGCAAAGCGCGTGTGTTAAGCTGCAACGGTTACTGGAAAGATGCCAGTGGATTGAAAATTGGGGGGTTGCAGTACTTAGTACACCGTTTCCACACCACATTAACATGAAACACTGTTGATATTATTGCCAGAGCAACGTTTTTTTTCAGTTGACTGCGTCGAATCACATTGGCGTGAATTCATTACCGAATGGAATTAGCAGTTCTTAAGAAAAAATTGTCATAGCTCCTTCATCGTTTGTACCCACACTACGATGTGCAAAACAACCTGCCAGCAAACTGCGTTGCGTCTCTCACCCCCTCCATAAATGCGATTAAAATGACGGTGAAAGTGATTCATTGAGGAAGATCGCAAATGAATTTCGCTTTCATTTTACACGCCATAGTTCAAATATAAATTAGACCGATATTATTCATCCTACTAGATTTCATTGATCAACAAAATGACTCATGTTGTCTTGGTTGAGACTTTCATCTTCGATACAGTTTATTGCCAAAAGTTGGTATGTCACAAAACGTGTTTCAGAAACAGCGGTATTTTATGACTTCTTCTGGGTTGCGAGAGCGGAAAAGCGGTTTCGGAGAGCAGAACATTAGGTTTTGAAATGAGGCAAGAACCGAAAAAGAAATTAAATACAGTCTCTGATATCTCTGTTTCTTTCACAATGGAAACTGATCATTTCATATAATTCCGCTTTTTTCGTACACTTTGGGATCAATCCGCGATGATCTGCTCGCTGCAGAGCCCTTCTGGTACTAACTTCCGCTGAAGGGCACAATCGATCGTTTCTGTGGCAGTACTTTGGTCTTTTCTTTACGCGGGGGCCAGAGCTTCCGGTCGTAAGCGCGGCCTCGTACAGTCTCTGCGTTGATCGACTCACGCGTCTGGTCCTTCGCAAATACGCATCCAAACGCCTCCGCCTATCTGCGGGTGATCGTCGATGACTGTTGCAATATGCCGATGAATTTATTTTGCTGAAGCATTGCATGTGCGTACTTTGGATATCATACTGTGAACAGAAAGTGTGAATAACACTTATCCGAAAGTGCATAAGCTTCATAAAATCATCAGAAAGTTTCATTTCAAAAGCGATAGATTACAGTAAAATCAATATCCTTATTAGTTTGTCATTGCTAATAAGTTATTTACAGCTTCAGACTGAAACATGCTGTAATTAAGTCTGATTAAGTCTAACTGACTTAGTTATTTCCAGTTTCGTCAGATATTCAATCGAGAGTGCATTTTTAGCTGAACGGAACTGGCAAGCGTTAGGCAATGTACAGGCATCGCATTGTTTTGTAGCGAGCACGTATTGCAATAACGAACCACATTAGTTTACGGTAAATTTAAGCACCTAGTAGCTTGAATATCAACTTCTCGGCTAAATATTCGTATTTTTCGAATCATGAACATGCAATTTATCTATAATCACTTGGATGGTATGAAGAATGATAAAGATAGTTCATCGATTGCACATCTGCTTAGGGGCAAATGGCAAACTACTGTTTGCATCAGATTTACCGAAATGGCGAATCATACCTAGCTTTTCTCAGGTCAAAGGTAAGAATCAAAATTTCGAGCGCTTTTATCAAACAAATAAATAATTTTTATATGCGTATGTAACGCAGCGTTACGAGGTGATATACGCTGCAGAGGCGCTCACCCCAGTGCCGAACAATGCCCAGGCAGGCGTGGCAGACACATGTGTCGAGCACACATCGCCGGGGAAACAACTGTCGCACTGCGGGCAGATGTATCGTGCATAAAATACGAGGCACGACCATCACGGAGGAGCGCGGGACATCGCAACGTCGGTGACGATGTCACAGTTGCAATAGTTTTCTTGTAAGGGATAATACGCGTGTTTGACGAGGAGTTGTCGTTCGTATTAATAAAGAATGAAAGAAATGCTGCACATGCTATGAGGAATATAAATAATTAGGTTATCATCATCATCATCATCATCTTCCATCGCCGCTTCTCCTTTCGGGTCGCGGAGGCAGACGCGTCAGA